AATTGCTAAAAGTTTATGTTAAAGTAAAACCAACATTGAAAATATTAATATGCATTTCTTTTTCGTATGTATAAAAACTATTCTTTTATTTATTAGTGTATCAGGTAATTCCATGCGTCATAAGAGTGAGTTCATCTGATTTTTTCTTTTTCTTTTGGTGTGAGGATCAAGGTGGGGCGAGGCTTGGTTTAGTGTGGTGATAAACGAGATTGTCTTCAGTTTGGTGCGACACACATACTGTACACACTGATAAGAGATCGTTGATTACGCTGACGTGGTCCCTGATAGTACCTGATATAAACACTTGCTCTTTTTATCACTTGTAGTAGAGATCTGAAGGATTCTGGTCCACGTTCAAAGATCATGGTTTTGGACGCGATACCTGTTATTATTATTATTATTATTATTATTATTATTATTATTATTATTATTATTATTATTATTATTATTATTATTATTATTATTATTATTTGTAGTAGTAGTAGTAGTAGTAGGAGGAGGAGGATGAGGAGGAATATTAGCTGCAGTAATAATAGTAGTTAATAGTATTGCTATTATCTAAAAGGTTTGTGGGAAAAGTCAACGCCATAAACCAAAGTATTAACTCAGGAATTGCAGGAAAAATGGGGAGGATCAACCACTACCTATTGGCATTAATTCTGTTTAAAGTCTTACTCGTGAGATTTATAGATTTTTAAAACAGATTACATTATTCTTAGGCATGTACTGTACAGTGTAAGAAACTGTCAACAGAGGCGTCTTACTGGTGCCAAGAGCCATTTCTGTGATCCCACCCTCAGTTAGGTGGCCAAAATGAAGCTTGTGTGCGTATATGTCTGCCAAATATCATGTAAAAAATGTTTAATAAGGAATTTCAATTAGATTTATATCTATGAGGGTAAGACTCGTTTATTTATAGGCTGACAGGGAGGCACCGAGGCACGTAGTGTTAGTTACGACATGGGTTGAGGCGAGCCTATCAGTGTCATAAAGGCGCTACCGGCTCGAGCTACTACAAACAATACCTGATTAATCCAGCAAATGTAATTGAGTCGTAAAGACCCATAAAATGTTATTGGGGGCAATTACTGGATGGCGAGGACTATGTTATAAAGATATAATCGATTATATGTGACAAAATAACAATGGTAAGAATAGACATGTACTGTAAATAATTCATCACTGCGAGAAGCCGAACAACATGAGTGAAAATATATACTAATATATTAACGATAAACTACAAAGTATGAAGGTAAATTTAATATATGATTTTTTTATCCTATATGAACCTAATCGTGAACTAACCTAACCTAACCTGACTTGAGTGGTGTGGTGACCAGTTAGCTCTCTCTGTGCTTCGTGTCCTTCGTGTAGGAATAATATTATATCACCCCACAGTAACAAATATCTACCAAGCTTTAAAAAATGTGGAAAATATATATATATTTTTTGTATTATTGTTGTCAAGAGAACCTTCCCTTGGAGAGTGAGATGACGAGGCAGTTTATCTAATATAGTGATTATGATTGATGGTCGTGTTCGAGTTGATAATGATTATGATAATGATAAAATGATGGTGATATTAATGATAACTATTACTACTACTGATGATAATATTTTTGTTTATTTACACAGGATTAAGGTAACTAAATACTTTACCCTCGTGTTCGGTTAAGGGGGGAAAATTTTATCGTGTAAACCTGAGAGTATCCGGAGGTGTGGGTCACGATGCCGTCTCATGAGCCGGTCACGATAATGACGTAATAATGGTGATGGGTCACGCACCACTAAACTGCCCCCGAGTGTTGATAATTATACTTACATACAAGTGCTTTGACCCTCACCCCCTCCTCCTCCTCCTGTTATCCTTTCCTTCGCCTTTCAATCTTCTTCCCTTCCTTATCTAATCTTTTTTTTCATTTCATTCCTCTTCCTTTCTTCCACCATTCCGTTGTTTTTCTTTTTCTCTCCCTCTCCTCGTCCTGTTCCCAAACCCTAGTTCCCCTCCTTCCCAAGTCTTCTTCCTTCTCTTCCTCTCTCATCCTCCCAACCTCTGCCTTCCTCCTACCTTCCCCTACCTTCCCCCCCCCTACCCTCTGCATGTAGGTCATGATCGTGTGCCTCAGGTGAAGGTGGAGGATAACACAAACAAAACACGATCGACCTCAAGCGTTGTTATGATGCTCGTCAACCAGTGTTATGGTACGTAGTGTGATGGCTGTGATGCGTTCCTTTGTTTACCTTTTGGAGTACACGGACGGTAGGAAAATCGCCTTCCCCACTCGGTCAGAGGTCGTTGGCCAAGTGGGGTGAGGGCAAGCGGGCAGGATAGTAGTGGAATAAGGGTAGAGTTGTGGTAGTAAGGATGGGGTAGTAGTAGTAGTAGTAAGGGCAGGGAAGTAATAGTAAGGGGGTGGGGTATTAAGGGCAGGTAGTAGGTGGTGGTGCTGGAGGGCGTGTGGACTTAGGGTCACCTCCGGAGACTGTTTGTAAGGCAGCGCGCGGTAACGAAGGTTGTGGGGACGTGGTGTGACTGACATGATACTCCACTACCTACTGTACCTATTGCCAGGGATGGGAGGTGAGGATAGGGAGTGGGGAGGATGGAGAATAAGAGAAGGAGGGGGAGGGGCGGGAAAAGGCAACAGAGAGGAAGGATTTAAGAGACTAGGAAGATGAAGAAGAAGGAAGAGGGAGGCGACTCGATAAACACAAAGAAGAGTAATAACAAGAAATGAGACAGAGGTAGAGGAGAGATACAAAGACACCGAAGAGGAAGAAGCGTGTGAGAGGAGTAGAGAGGAAGGGGAGGAGGGGGAGGAAGTACCAGAGAAGGAGGACGAAGATGGAAAGATGGAGGAGATAACTACAGGAGGGGACGCTACAGGAGGAGGAGGAGGAGGGGGGGGTGGGTATGGTGGCGTGGTGGTGGTACTGGTGGGGGGCGGTGAGGGGGGTCGCACCACGCCTAGATATAGTCATCACGCACCTCAGTGGGGGACGTCAATGATCCTTGGCTGTGTTTTTTTGTGTGTGTGTACGGGCGGTCCCAGCTGCGTTAATACCCTGGGTTATGTACTGCACTTCCCTCCCCTTCCTCTCGATAGTGTAAATTGAAACACCTAACATAATCAGAAGTCAAATACACAACAGCAATATTGACATGAGTGAGTCTTATAAGTAATGAAGCTGTCTTGAAGGTCCCTGATAAATACGGTATATCAGAAGGGAATTGATGAGTGATATAGAGTGTGATCTGCACCTCTCTCTCTCTCTCTCTCTCTCTCTCGACGTCCCAGAGACACTGTGGGCCACTAAGAGAAGAGAGTTAGTATGCCCCCGGTGTCCTCTCCTCATTTAAGACCCTTCCTCCACCTTAATGGACGCCGTGTGTCTACCCTGACATACTGAACCTCCCTTGAGATACTGAACCCTGGCTAAGATACTGAACCCTGGCTAAGATACTGAACCTCCCCTAAGACACTACACCCCCCCACCCCCTGTGCGCCGCTAACACACAGACAACGGCAGTGTAATGTGGGGGGGGGGTTATTATCACAGCTGTGTGCCATTGTTTACAAACAAAGCCACGTGACACTCTCCTGCCGCGGCCACCAGGAGCTCCACGGGGCACTTATCACACATTAATCATCTGAGTAAACGCTAATGTGTGTTTATTGATGTTCAGAGCTGTGATGTATCAACTGAAGATTAGACACCCCAGCTTATTTCGTCAGATCAGCCACCCTAACGCTAACCTAACCTAATCAAACCTAACCTATCTTGACCCTAACCTAATCCAACCTAACCTCGCCTGGTACTTTAGGGTAGTCAGTCATCAGGTGAAATATGCTAGGGCGTCTAATCTTCAGGTGATATAAATAAAGTCTGGTACAATCGGGGTTAAGGCAATGACTTTAGATAAAATTAAGGCGTCGTGTGTGTGTGTGTGTGTGTAGGTCGGTGACTTGTTATGCATTTACATATAATTAACCCATCGATAACCTATTTATACCTGAGTACAATGCTCATTTATATACCTGCTTTACCTACTTAATTCTTCATATACCTGCCTACTTACCTACTTATCAACCTACCTGTCTCCTAAACCACCGGCGTGTCATCCTACCTGTCAGCCAGCTGATGTACTGATAATGTAAACATCTTTTTGTGCTTTTGATGGCAGGATGTAAAACTTGTTGTCCAGAATCAAACTTAAACACTATTTCTCAACAGATTATTATGTTCTGTAGATTCAAATTGATGCTCTTTTGTTTTATCCTTATAGAAATAATTGTGTCATCTATACTGTACATCTATCTAATTAAATACCTGGATATATCTATGTAAATATATACCTGTATTATGTGTCTGAGTGGAGATTTATATTTATATAGATATATATAGAAACATAGCTGTGGATAGGTACATGTATAGATGATATGAATTCTATAAGGGAAGAGTGTGATAGTAATACCTTGAAAAAACAAATGAGCATCAGATGAAATATAAACTCTTGGAGGGGGTGGCTAATCTTCACGTGAACCGAATAATATAACATAGCTCTAATACTAACCAATATATAACCTCCAGAAACTAGCACCTCGTATTAAATAGCTAAATAATAAATAAAAAACCAGAGAAATATGAAGTTTAAATAGCATTAATTATGTTAGTTATCAGGAGGTGACTAATGTAGCCTCCAAGAGCCGCCTCGACCTACTAACATCAAAACAAATGCCGGTCAAGTCAACTGATCTGATAGTGTGAGGTGCAGTAGCTTTCAGTCCAGGAACAGTGTGTGTGTGTGTGTGTGTGTGTAAGGTAACTCTTATTAGTATTGGGAGTTTGTTGATAGCCGAGGAGAGAGAGAGAGAGAGATGTATTGAGGAGATATGGGTAAGCGAGAGAGAGATATATTCACTAAGAAAAATAAAGAGATAGATAGTAACTTAAACTGCAAAGAGAGAGAGAGAGAGAGAGATAACATAGGTACTCACTGCTTAATTAAGTGATTCCACCTGTACGTGTTCCTCCTGGGTATACCTCTGCCTCCTCTCACGTCTCCCTCTGAAACAACACACAATATACCTGTTAGTGACGTCCTGTTTATACATACATCTATACATACATACATATATTCATACATACATCTTCAGGAAGTGAAGTTGAGGGTCAGAGGTCACGGGTACCCCATAAAAATATAATAATGACGAGAAGAAAAAACAAATTAATAATTACACCCGTTATGACACCACTTGACCCCCCCTTTCCCTCTCTCCCGTCCCCCCACCCCTCCCTCCATACCCCCCTTCCCCCTCCACCCCCCCCACAGGTCACAGCTCAGTGGGTATCGCCAGAAGTCATTGGGCATCAACAATACAGGTGCCAGGGCAGAGTCTCACGTCATCAGTCACAATCCTACTGGTGCGTCAAGGACTCCTGTCGAGCGTGTCATTATTACCCAATCACAGACCTTGTTACCTCATCTGCCAGCCAATCACGTCATTCTCCGGCATATGACTTTATCATCATTGTCCAATCATATAACGAGTTGCTGTGCTTCAGTTTACAGTCAAGTACGTCATTTCTTCGTTAACTTCCTTAGGTTATCTTTCTCCTTAAACTTGATATCGTTCGGGATAATGTTTGCTACTAAGCTATCAACGCATCTGTTATCGTTAGGGCTACTGTTTGCCACTTCGCTATCAACTCCGTCAACAAGCTGATATATAACGAGCATTATCGGGTTTCTGAGAACATGTTATCTCTCGCTAGGCTGCAAGAGGGTTAGAGAGAAGACCTCACGTAGACAATGTATTAGTGAGGGAGGTGTGTGTATACAGTATAGTACTAAGATCAGGTCCTCCTCCTTCTCCTTCTCTTCCTCTTCTTCCTCCTCCTTCAGCACCGCCGGCAGTAGTAGGATGGCTTGATGTCTGAAGTCTCCTATTTACCCTATGAGGAGGTCCAATCCTAAGGAGATCCTGTGATAGCGGTTTGGGTGCCCTGTGAAGATCCTACGACCTTGTGGACGCCCCGAAGAAGGTACAGAAGAGGTTAAGAGGTCTCCTCCGGCCTCCACGTACCCCCCCTCCCCCGGCCTCCAAATGCCCCCCTAGTGGCCAGGTGTACACTGCATCACACCTGCTGATAAAGTCTTCTGGGAACATGACCTCCTTATCAGTGTCCTCGTACAGGTGTGTGTGTGTGTGTGTGTGTGTGTGTGTGTGAAGATAATTTCTCCTTCAGATATTTGTCTCATGTCGATAGGGTTGAATTATTATTATTATTATTATTATTATTATTATTATTATTATTATTATTATTGGTCGTAGTAGTAGTAGTAGCAGCAGTAGTAGTAGTTGTTGTTGTTGTTGTTGTAGTAATGCAAATAAAATGATATTAGTTAAGTAGGAAACAAGAAGTATATGACAAAGAAGGAAGAAGGAGAGTGAAGGAGAGGAGGAGGAGGAGGAGGAGAAGAGGAGAAGAAGGATGGAGAGAAAGCGGGAGGAGGGGATAGAAGAGTGAAGAATGTGGGAGGGGGAGATGATGGAGTGGTTGTGGAGGAGGAGGGGACGGGTAGTGGAGTAGGAGGAGGAGGGTCAGTCAAGGTCAAGGGTCACGCATCGCACTCAGCGGACCGTGTCAGGGCCTTGACGGCTTCAGAGTGATCAGCTGATTCTATTATTTATATCTTTGTTATATACAGCTCTCTCTCTCTCTCTCTCTCTCTCTCTCTCTCTCTCTCTCTCTCTCTCTCTCTTAACTCTAAGGATCATCAAAAGTCTCTTACGTCAATCTCTACCCGGAGATACCAAGAGAGAACTAAGAGACTCATTTCAATACAACACACCTGGTGGTCAAAATGGCGTCAGTAGTTCATTAAGACTGTCGTAGGTAGACTCGTTTCTCTTAAGTCATTATCACAATTAACCTGGGGATCCTCTGCTGTTTACCTGGTGTCGATTTAAAGGGCTTCTCTTAACGCCTCCTCCTCCTCCTCCTCCCCTCCCAGCAGGTAAGTCCTCCCCTCACCTGCCTCAACGCCTCTCAAGTGTAAACAATTACGTATTTTCTCTCTTGATGGATGGGGAAGGGGAGGAGAGGGGAGGGGAGGGGGCAGGGTAGTAGTGGTGTAGGGGAGGGAGGGAAAGGGATAGGAAGGAAGGGAGGGAAAGGGGAGGGAAGGGGAGAGAGAAGCGTAGGTGATGGGACAGGGTAGTAATAACAGTGTTGCGGGAGGGGGGACGGAAGAGGGGTGGGGGGAGGGGAGCGGGGGTAGGGCGTGACCTTGAGTGCCTACGCTTGGATGCACACCACTACACAACTTCCGCGGGCGGTCAGAGTGGCACTGGGGGGAGGGAGGGGGGGGCAACATCACTTCCTACCCGGTACACCCACCCTGGCACTAGCCGTAGTCCACCCATTCATGTCAACACACTGCCCCCGGATATAGAGTTACCTGGCCATATGATCAGCCAATCAGAGTTAGTTTACGAGCATCTCAGTCACTTGAACTGCCAATCAGATTCAGAGTTTCAGTATCTTGTAAATAACGCTTCCACCAATCACGAGAGAGTTTTTAAACCTCATCCGTCAGTTGTATGGTGGATGAACTGCATGTGATTGGTGGATGAGTTAGTAATTTAATTCACCCTACCACCCAACTCGCCCACTCATTTCACCGATTCATCCACCCACCTGCAACCCAGTCATCCACCTTACTCCTATCCCTTACTCACTCAAGCGGTACCTGTGCTGCTCACCCACCCACCCACCCACCCACCCACCCACCCAGCCATCACCACCCGCCACCGTCAGTAATTACACCAGACAGTTATCACGGGGAAAGGTCAAGAGTGAGACGTCATGTATTAATGCGGAAATAACGTGAGATCTTTATACCTGTACGTGATGCAGCAAACCTAACGCAACCTAACCTAACCTAACCTAACCTAACCTAACCAACCGAACCTTTATTGATAATTGATGTGTACGTTATTAGGATCATATGAAGATTAGGCACCTCGAGCTTATTTCACCTGTTGATTAAATACCCTAACCTAACCTAACCTAACCTTACCTAACCTAACCTAACCTAACCTAACCAAACCTAACCTAACCTAACCAAACCTAACCTAACACCACACTGTCATACACATCACTACACACCCTCAACTCGGTGGATCAAACACACTACACACCACTAGACGGACGATGTATAGATGGATCAGGCAAGTCCAGGTGTGTTCAGGTGAATCCGGGTGAGTCCAGGTGAGTCCGGGTGAGTGCAGGTATGTTCAGGTGTAACAGGTGAGTCCGGGTGATTCCAGGTGTGTTCAGGTGAGTCCAGGTATGTTCAGGTGTAACAGGTGAGTCCGGGTGATTCCAGGTGAGTCCGGGTGATTCCAGGTGAGTCCGGGTGAGTCCAGGTGTGTTCAGGTGTAGCAGGTGAGTCACAGTAAACAAAGATCCATGGAAGGGGACGAGAGAAGTTCCTTGGTCAGCGAGGCACTGTGCAGAGTGTCAACAATACCGCGGACGGGCACATACTGGCTCCCTGGCACTATAGTAGTAGACGGCGTGTGGCACTGAGGAGGTCCTGGGCGGGCACGTGCGAGGCAAGAGGGGGGGGAGGGGTTGAGGGGCAGGGGGAGGAGGAAGGGGCAGGGGGGAGGAGGGCATGAAGGGCAAAGAAACTAGAGGTGGGACAAGTGTGTAGCTGGAAGATGTTGATGTACCGATGGTGTCTGATGTTAGGGAAAGACCCCGACAGGTTTTAGCGTGTGGTAAGGTGTCTGGTTATCCATTAAAGATGATAAAACACCTATAGATTGTAGTGTAAAGTTTGTTTTGTTGTGTGAAATACGTCGTTTGTTTGACCAGTTGGCTCGTGCTGGGTGAGTTGACGACCATTAAAGGAAGGAAGGAGGGAGGGACGGAGGGGCGGGAGCAGCCATGCGTGACGGCAGTAGCTTCACAACTGTGTGTTTATCTTCAGCAGGAAATACATGTTGTTGTTGGTGTTGTTGGTGGTGTTGTTGGTGGTGTTGTTCACAAGGTCAACACACACCCCAGCAACTGTTAGGTGAGTGTTAGCTAGATATAGTCAAACCTCTATATTATAAACTTTAAAATAACACGTCAACACAACTCATCTTTTTAAGTTTCTTCTCTGTATGGTTCATATTTAAAGTCTTAACTAACTAATATTATACTACAGCTCCGCCACACACGAGTCCTCAAAGGTTTATTCCTCCTCTTTTATTATATTTACTCCTAATTAAGGAAACAAAGGGCAGTATTTTACGGCCGAGTCTCAGTGCTATGTAGACGCCATTTTGTTTTTACCTTCATCTCTATGTCCCAGCTAATGTGTACCAGATAAGTCGAGGTGCTTTAATATTTCTAAATGGAGGACAACTTTAATGTATGACTCGTTAAGAATATGGATTGTGACGTAAACTGGCCGCGGGGGGGGGGTGTAGAGGTGAACACCCTACGTCTGCTGCCCTGTTGGTGTTCACGCCCCTCATGCTGATACCATCATCCCGGCGCCGCCTCCTTCAGGGTGGACCCAGGAAACAAATTTGGGGCGTGTCCGGTGGTGGTAGAGGGGGGTGGGGGTGGGCAGGTAGGAGTAGGAACTAAGGGTATTGTATATCTCCTCCTGGGGCAGGGTAGGGGAAAGGAGGGGGGGTGAGGGAGGAATACTTCGGCCCGAGGTATTGTCTTTCGGCTTAGGGTGGTCCTGCAGGAGAGGTTTGGCCAGGACGGGGTGAGGGCGTACCTGCAGGAGTGTACCTGAAGTCAGTTCCGTGTCCGAGGGTGAGAGCCTTAGGCCATGTATCTCTCCTGGGGCAGGTCTGGTGGGGGCAACAGCAGGAGGAGGAGGAGGTGGTGGTGAAGGTTAGAGGGACGTGGCAAGGAGGAGGAGGAGGAGGAGGAGGAGGTGACAGGGAGGAAGAGGAGGCGGAGATTAGAGACAGGTAACAAGGTGGAATAGAAAGAGGAGGTTGAAGGGAGGTGGCAGGTAGGAGCGTGTGTACATACTTAAAATACAC